AGCACAGCAGTGAAAATGAATGGTGGCGGCTGGGAGGGTACAAACTTGGACGACTCTTTCACATGCAGATTGTGTTGGAATGGGACCGTGAGAAGGCTTGCACACATTCATATATAAGTTGAAAGAAACACGAAAGAGAACTGGGAAGAGGGCTCAGACATTCAAGTGCATACCACACGAGCATGAGAACCTCTGGTTTATCCCAGAACACACATTTGGGGAGGAGGGCGCCAGTGACATGGCCAAGAGGTTAAAGGTGCTTACTCCCTAAACTGGAAACCTGACTTTGATCTCACCACATGACAGAGGAGAGAGCCAAGCCCTTTATAAGTTGTCCTCTGGCCTTCACACAGACTATATAATAATAAATAAATGTCATCATACATTTACAAAGTCAGAAGGCAAACATGATGGGCATGATGGCTCACACTAGCAATCCCAGCATGAGTGCAAGGCCAGCCTGGGGGCATTGCCTGTAATCTCAAATTGAGGAGCTGGACACAGATAAATCCCCAGAACAGTCTAGCCTAATGGGTAAGTCCTAGGCCAGGGGGAGAGAGCCTGTCTCAGAAAAACACAGTGCCCAGTGGTGAGCCAAGGTTAGCCAAGTGAAGATCAGGGTTGGGGAACCTAGAACAGCGCAGTTAGTTATGGAAGGAGTGGAGACCAAACTGAGGGCCCTGACTTAGGGGCTCCTCCACACTACAAAGGCCAACTCTGGCTTCAGTGACTCCTCATCTCCACCCCCCAAGGCTGAGGCCTTGGTCTATCCACCCTTGTGCTCTGCAGGGAAAATGTTCGTTCATGACTCCAGGCTCAGGGAACAGCCTGGGGACAAGGCCAGTGAGGAAAGGCAGTCCTGCAGGGACAACAATCAGAAAGGAGCCAGCGAGGCCTCAGCAGTTGCTCTTTCCAGTCACTGGGGTGACCGTCCAGTGCAGGTCACAGGAAGAACACAGAGAACTAATTTCCTGCAGCAGCCTGGTGGCTGCCAAGTTCTGCTGTGGCTGGAAACATGACACCTCTCGTGAGGGTCAAGGTGGACAGGGTCCAGCAGAGGGGCATGCAGTGGACATCAGCAGGAGACACAAAAAGACCTGGCCCAGCTGGAGCCAACGAGGACCGTCCAGTGAATGGACAATGAGGGTCCAATGGCTTAGTTGTCACCATTTGGACCATTCATTTCATTTGGATTTTTGAGACAGGGTCTGGCCTTGAACTTGAAACATTAGCAAAGAATGACCTTGAACTTCTGGCTCTCTTACCACTACTTCTGAATGGTGGAATTACAGGTGTTCACTAACACACCTGGTTTATGCAGTACAGAGAACGGAACCAAAGAATTCACTCATGGTAGGTAAGCACCCCACTAACTGAGCCACATCCCAGGCCCAACATTTGGGACAGAGCAAAGGACAAGTCATTCAGAAAGCACAGAACACAGGCTAGTAGATGGCTAGAGGTGGGTTATTCAGAAGCCTGGGAAGTGAGGTCACTTGCCACCTGTGACTGAGATTCTAACAGCCTCAACAATAACCTCAGCCAGTATGCAGAGAGATCTGCAGGGTGATACTGCCATCCCTTGGAGCTAGGTGAGGAAGCAAGGGGGGTGCAGCATCCTTGACTACACCAGGAGCCATCACAGTGGGGTAACATGGACACTCCCATGCCTGGAATCTTGGGGGGTCTTGCCCAGCCCAGCAGACAACTCTCCACTAAACACAACCTCACTCCATGTCTGTCACATCCATTCAAACCCTAAAAGGTCCAGGCCCTACTCTGTATGTCACCATCTTTCCATGACCTACCCTTAACATCACCTCCCTCTGGAGGTGCCCCTGAATGACTTCAGATCCTAGGTATATTCATAATGGCTAGCCTTATTCACTGTCCACTGGTCCATGATGCTGTCAGGAAGAGCTCTGAACCAGAAAGGCGAAGCCAGACCCTCACACACAGGTGCGGACTAAACAGCCCCCAGCTGAAAGCTCAGAGGAACATCAGAAAACATAGCCTCCAGTAATCCACCCCAGAACTCACTCAGCAGACCAGGCTGGCCTTGAACTCAGAGATCTGCCTTCCGTGGCCTCCAGAGCATGGGAGCAAAAGCCTGCAACATCATACCACACACCACTCACAAATACGCTTATTTTAGATCATGATAAATGAATGAAAAAAAGTAGTAATATGACAGAAAGTGAAAGGGGGGCTATTTTGCATAGGAAGAACAGGGAAGGCCCCTCTGAGAAGGTGACATTTGAGCTGAGACTAAACAGATAAGGAAAAACCACCCATGGGAAGGGCTGGGAACTGTGTTCTGGGCACTGGGATGGCAGGGGTTGAGGACTTAACATGAGAACAAGCTGAGTGCACACACAGCTTGGAAAAAGCAGGTAGCCTGGCCTACCAAATCACAGTAGGCACAGAAGCGAGCCAGTAACCAGTGGAGGGAGGCAGACAAACAACCTCTCAAAGCACCATCATACTCAAACCAGGTCGGTCTGACCCAGCCAGGACATCCGGGCCAGAGACACAGCAGCATGGGGGTGAAGGAATGAGTCAGACCCATGGCTTCCTGGGGCCCCAAGAGAGCTGCTATGGGCATCCAGGGACAGGCACCCACCCCTAGCTATACTGTACCCACACTCACAGCATGCCCACGTGGAGGGGACAACACGATCATATATAAGCATGCAGAACACTCCCACCTGCCGCTCTCAGAGGGACAAGATTAAATGTGTCCACCAAGGGCTGGCCCTAAATATTTTCCAAGGACACAGCAATGGCAACAGTCTAAGCCACTGGACAAAGAACAAGGCCCCTGGAGATAGGGTGTAGTTCAGCTGATAGAGTGCTTGTCTAGCAGGGATGAAACCCTGGGTTCAATCTCCAGTACCACATAAACCAGGATTAGTGCACGCCTCTAATCCCAGCCCTCAAAGGGATGCAGAAGGATCAGAAGCTCAAGATTATTCTCTGCTACAAGTGAATTCAAGGCCAGCCTGGGCTAGAAAGACCCTGTTACAAAATAAAACAACAGAGTTTAGAACTGGCGAGATGGCTCAGTGAGAAAAAGTGTGTGCCGCCCAGCCCAATATCCTGAGTTAAAGTCCCAAAACCCACATGGGAGAAGGAAACAGCCAACTCCTCAAAGTTGTTCTTGGACCCCCACAAGGGCATGGGCACCTTGGCATGCACTTACCCTCATCTAAGCACAAACAAATGTGAAATTAAAAACCAACAACAGAGGGCCTCACTGAAAACAGATGGCTACTAAACCTGAAAACTACTATCAGGTTGGTCAGAAAGAATAAACGAGAGCCAGGCATGGTGGAACACCCCTGTAAGCCCAGCGGATGGAGGACCAGGTCAGCTTTAGCTACAGAGTTCAAGGTCAGCCTGGACTACAAGACTGTCTCCCAAAAAGGGTGAAAAAAGATTAAAAAGTTTTAAAAATTCATCTCACCAGCGTAAGGTTACTAGAATTATCATTATGGGTTAGTTTCACAGGCCATTTGCTAGGGACAAAGGGACACTGAGCCTGCTTGGTTAGTGTGAGCATTCCACTCTCTGAACAAAATGTTCTCCGTCAAGGACCGAAAAAACCATTCTGAGAGTCCCCTGACTGTCCACTCATGAGTCTGAATTCCCCTCTACCACACCCCTCATTGTTGGTCGCATGAGTAAGAGCTGATCAAATCCCACTTTGACTGACTGTGAAATCAAAATGATGCATCAGGAATCCACACGTTTCCCACACTGTCATTCAGCAAGGGGGTGGGGACCGCTACTGCTGAGACCTTTGCTTCATCCATGAAAGTCCCTCCCTCCCTTTTACCAAAACAGTTCCTCACTGACAGCCCCAAATTCCCACCCACTGCCGGACACAAGATGAATACATGCACAGCAAACCACTTCCATGCACATGATCTCACACAGAGGCGCAGGAACTTCCCACGGGCCAAACACAACCCAAAGCATAAAAGCCATCTCTCCTAAATCATTCCCAGAAACTCACTGGATCTACCCAGCACCTGTGTACACAAATGCCTCCCGGGCTGTGCAAAATGAGCTCAATAAGGATGGAACAGAGGGCTTTGCAGTCAAACATTCATATCCCGACTTTGCAGCACACTAGTTATGTGATTACAATCTGCAAGTTGCCTGTGTTCCTCGCTGGTGAGGTGAAGATATAAAGTAACATTCATGGAGAAGGGGTGGCCACGGAGCCTGAGCACATGAGTTCAATCCCGGGTGGGAACCCACGAGGTTTGGAAAGAGAGAAATGAGTCAGGCAAGTTGTCTGTCCACAACCTTACATGCAAACAATAAATAAATGTATGAAGTAATAGTCACCGGGCGGTCGTGGTGCACGCTTTTAATCCCAGCACTCGGGAGGCAGAGGCAGGTGGATTTCTGTGAATTCAAGGCCTGCCTGGTCTACAAAGCGAGTTCCAGGACAGGCTCCAAAGCTACAAGAGAAACCCTGTCTTGAAAAAAAAAAAAAAAAACATTGAGTTAGAATGAATGTAACAGTTGGATGAGTTTCACACTAAAAATTTAGATCAACACTTGGTTGCACGCCTTTTATCCTCGCACTCCGGAAAAAAGCAGGAGGGTCTCTGTGAGTTCGAGGCCAGCCTGTTCTATGTAGCGAATTCCAGACCAGACAGTAGCACACAGTGAGACCTTGTCTCAAAACAAACAAGAAAAGACTATCTGGAAATCGACCAATAAGCGTGGTTATGATGCTGATTTTCGTCATTACGACGTCTACACACCGCAACCCAAACTTTGCTCGCAGGGGTCCGCGGGCCGGTCCCAGGCGCGCTCCGCAGGCGGTACGCATGCGCGCCCGGCCGGCAGTGCGGGCCGGGAGTCTCCAAAGCCTGACGAGACGCCAACACCTCACGACGCCGGGACTCCCGCCACTAGCCCTCGCTCCCGGCGCGGGCCCCGGTCTCCTCCCGCCTGCCCATCCCCCCAGCGGCCCCGCTCACCCTACGACGAGAACTTCGGGGCACCGAGCCAGACTCTACAGCCCTAGGCTCCGGTCGGTACCAGGAAATGCTGGGGCCACGCCACGCCCCTGGGAAAGTCCCCGGAGACCGACGCGCCGTCCATCCAATAGCGCCGCGCGCTGGGCGCGCTGGGGGTGGGGCCTGCGATGTAAACAGCCGCAGCGGTTTGGCTGGGTGGAGCAGTTCGCGGCTCAAACCTAGGGAGCCTTAGGACACTGTGCCAACTACCCAGGTCCAACTCGGTCCATACCTCCTGTGTCCCGGGAGGGCACTAAGCACCGGATGCCAAGTACCGGGTCTTTTCTAGTTCCCAGATGCAGGACCTGCTTTCTCGGCACTTCGGAGGCTGAGGCAGGAGGATCCTGAGTTTGAGGCCAGCCTGGGATATACGAGATCACATTTCACCCCACCACCAGCAGAAATATATATATAATTCTGGCCCAAAAGTAAGGCAATTTAGAAAGACACCTGACGTTGACCTCTGAGCTCCATAGACATGAACATAGCAGAAAGCCTTGACTTTGTAATAAAAGTTTTTAAAACAAGGAGGACAGTAGGGTTTTCAGGAGGAAGATTGAAACATTCTCTGTCACTGGAATTGTTGAAAACGTTGACAGGTCTTCATCTTCTGGACTGGGGATGAGGATCTAGGGGGCTATTTCATACACGCCCTCATTTTACATAAAGAGAGATCTATCAATGGGAACTGTGAGCAGGCACCTACTTAAGCATATGTCTTCTCCAAGGACCCTCCTTTTAGGCTTTCTGTCACCTATGTCCCAGTTACCTCACAGGAGCTGGCAGGTTGGCAAAACGACATTCTAGGTCACATTTCTTATGGAAAGAAGCATGCATGTGTCTTGATTCTGAAGGGAGAGAGGTCAGATTTCCCCAAGAGAGGATGCACAATCACCCTCAGGAGAGGCTGCAGGGGGAACTGGGTCCTTTGTCCTATGTATCAATTCTCCAAAGGTCTGTGTCTCTCTGCCTCTTTTCCCTGTGCTTCTCAATTTGCCTCTTCCTGGAATGTTCACTCCCTAAATCTTGTCCCAGCTCTTCACTCCTACCTACTACCCAGTACTGAGATTTCCTTTAAAATGAAGTCTCCAATAATTTCCAGTCTGACTGCATACTGCTTCCACTGTTTTAGTAAGATATTTGACCTCAGAAAGTTGAGTGGTTTCATTCCCACAAATGTCCATGATTCCTACGTAGCCTTTAAAGATTTGAGATTTGGGATTTGAGGCCAGCCTGGTCTAAGTACTAAGTTCAGAGCCAGCCACAGCTTCACAGTAAGACCAGGTCTCAAAACAAACAAAAAACCCTACTACCAATAAAACCACCTAGGGGCCAGTGAAATGGGTCAGAGTTGGGTAAAAGTGCTTGCTGACCAGCTTGAGGACCTGAGTTCAATCCCTGGAACCCACAAGGTGGAAGGAGACTGACTCCTGCAAGTGGAGGAATCTCTAGAGTGGGTGGATGGGGGTCTCACCGTGTGGTCGCAAACTGGTCTAGACCTCTCCATCCTCCTGCCTGACCTTTAAGTGAAGAGATAACTTTGCATGGCCACACCCAAAACTTTCTTTTCTGTTCTGCTCAACCACTGAAGGTCATCTTCTTATCCTTGTCCGTCTGAGGTTTCACTCCAGAGCTGAGCGCTGCACCACCAGAGCTGCTTTGAACCTCAGCTTTGCTCAAGGCCACACCCATTGACACAATCAAAACCAGAACCCAGGGCCTTAGTTCCACAGAGCTGTGTTGTCTCCACAGTGTCAGAATGACGGTCTCTCTCTCTCTCTTTCTCTCTCTCTCTCTCTCTCTTTCTCTTTCTCTCTCTCTCCTTCCCTGGCCTCAAACTTGCAAGGTAGATTGATCCCTTGAACTCCTGATCTCCCGCCCCCACCTCCCCTCTCCTGGGTTGCAGACTTGCACCATCACTGCCCAGTTTATGTAGCACAGGAGACAGAACACAGGGCTTCCATGCAGGGCAAGCTCTCTACTGAGCTTCACCCCCACACCTTTTTCGCTTTCTTACAGAAGCACAGGCCCCAACCCCAACCCAGGGTGTACCTCCCCCTCAGGTGTTTGTGAGAATGAGTGTTGTAGAGACAGGCTCGGCACACACTAGCGTCGGAGAAATGATGATGTCCAGATGTGGGTTACACGCATTGATAGATTTCACTGTTAAACCCACCAATATAATCTTTGGTTCCATCCCCCTAGATTTGGGACATGGAGCTGGCGAGAGGCAGATGCCCCTAGCCTGGCATCCTCTGCCACCCCCTTAGCCTGGAAGGGAGTTTCCAAGTTGGGAGGTGAGTGACTCAGGCAGGTGGCAACCTCTTACTATTCTAGAGTGTCAACAAGCACCTCAAAAAGCCCCACCTGGGAGGAGAACCACACTGCCTGTGTTTTGTTTTGCTTTGTGCTGAAGAAGACGATGTCTCGTCCTTTCTGCCACTCCCTCCTCTACCAGGGAGGCTCCAAAGTAGCCAAGTGCATACTTCTAAAAACATACCTAGAAAAGACTATGCACAATCAAGTGACAGAAGCAGGAAGTGGGGGCTGTGACATAAAAGGGTTAGAAGATAACATGAAGGGGCTGGGGAAATGGCTAGGGAGCAAGAAGCCTGGCTGCCCAAGCATGCGGACCTGATATGAACATACAGCACTCAGTTCAAAAGTCAGGCATGGCTGTGTGTATGTCTAAAACCCCGTTGCTGTCGGGCTAGGAGGTGGAGACAGGAGGATTGCTGCAGCTTAGCTGACTACTGGCCTAGCTCCAGGTTCGGTAAGAGACTTTGCCTCAACGGAACAAGGAACAACATGATAAAGCAGGGTACATGATGTTCTCTTTTGGTCTCTATGTATGTGTGTACCCTCCCCCTCCACACGCGTATACAACACACACACACAGAGTGAGAGAGAGAAGATGGAGTACGTGCTAGTTCTACACTTTTACACAATTCATCTCCCATCCAGTCTGTGACAATCAGGTGGATGGATGCTCACTGGAGTTCATACAGAGCTTCATGCCAGGCTCTTAAGCATCATGTCACAATATCTCACCAGCTAGCAGGACACAGAACTCAGAATGCCAGCCTCAAAAGGATCTGTAGAAATGACCAAACCCCCAACCCTACTCAAGTGATGATATTTGCAATGAAATACGAACAAGAGGACAGAGACATGACCACCCTTTGTGGGTGGAGCTGCATTGAGGCCAGAGCAAGGCTAGTACTTGCAGCAGGTGTGACCCTGAGTTTTAGATGAATGCTGTCGCAAGCACCTGGGCTCCCCCATGGGAGCACCTGCTTTCCTCCTACATGCTCCAACTGATGGGAGGCACAGCTGCTTGCCTGTGTGTTTGTGTATGTGTGTGAGCCTCAGTATGAGTGTGTATACATATTTGTGTGTGGTTGAGTGTGTGTGTGTGTGTGTGTATGTGTACTGAGCATAGGTATGTGGATGTCAGAGGTCAGCCTGGGTGTCGTTACTCAGTAACCCTCCACTAGGTCTCTTACTGGGACCTGGGACCTAAGCTTCCTGGCCAACAAGCCCTAGGGATTCACTTATCTCTCTCCTCCGGTGCTGGGACTATAAGTGGTATCACTATATTCATCTTTTTCTACATAGGCTCTGGAGATTTAACTCAAACCCTCAACTGCCAAGCTATCTTATTACCCCTTCTTTGCTTTTTTGAGACAGGGGTATCACGTAGCCCAGGTTGGCCTCAAAATCATTGCGTAGTGAGGAAGACATTTTATTTCTGGTTCTCATGACCCCAGCCAGGTCCTGGGTGCTGGGATGCCTCACCACATCTGATGTCTACTCTTCTGAGACCTCAGCAGAGCTGGTTGTCTCGCCTCCCGAACTAAGCTTCATTCCCAAGCTGGAAACAGACTCAAACCAAGATAAACCTTATTCTATTAGAATGAGAACTGGGAGCCTCGGCTGTGAGAGGGTGGGACTGAAGGACCTGGGTAGGAGTAGGAGTGGTTAAGCAGTCCTGGATCCCTTCCTGGATCCTTAGCCCGAGGCGATCTTGGAATACAAAACCCTTCAGTGGATTCTAGGTACTTTCTGCTCTTGGGTGTGTGCTTATCAAAAAGAGAGATTTGGGTGATAGTTAATTGAGATAAGGAATGTCAAACACGTGACATTGACTAAAATGGTACTTGAGGGTGCTGGTGGTGATTGCTGAGAAGTGGTGCGGGTATGCAAGAGAGCGCTGGAGTCAGTCCCTGGTGCCTCAGAGAATCAAATGTGATGGCACACATCTGTAATCCTGAACATCTGTAATCCTGAACCTAAGGGGTGGAGGCAAGAGGACCAGAAGCTCAATTTCCTCCTCAGCTCCATAGGAAAGTTTGGGCTAGCTTGGGAAAGAAAGGAAGGGAGGAAGAAAAGAAGGAAGGAAGGAAAAAAAGGAAGAAAGGAAGAAAAATAAGAAGAAAGATGGCGGGGACTGTAGAGATGGCTCAGTGATTCAGAGCCCTGGCTGCTCTTCTAGAGGACCCGGGTTCAATAGCACCCACATGGCATCTTGCAACTGTCTGTAACTCTAGTTCCAGGGGCTCTGATGCCAGTACACATAAAAAAAAAACTTTTAAAAGTGTCTTGTATTTTAAAAAATAACAAAAAGAAAGGAAGGAAGGAAAGATGGCATGCCAGCTGGAAGTAGTACTGAATGCTCCAATCTCCAGCTCTATGGAGACAGAGGTAGGAGGACCAAAAATCCAAGGCCCGCCTGGGCTATTTGAGACTCTGACTCAAAACAGCAACAACAACAAGCTTTCCCCCCGCCAATCACACACAACCAAAAACTGTTCCTAAATGAACTATATCTGTAGTCCCAGCTCCCCTCAGCCTAAGGCATTTTTAAACTCTATCTGCCTTCATAGGGTATGAAGGCTGCAATATTTTTGTGTTCATTTAGCATCTTTTACATATATTTATCTATTGCAAGTGTGTGCGTGCATGCATATGTGTGTGTGTGTGTGTGTGTACTGTTGCATGCACACATTCCACAGCACATGTATGGAGGTCAGAGGACAGTTTGTAGTT